CCGCGCGCTCCGGGCCTAGCGCCGCAGTCCTTCGGCGCGAGCTGTTTGTGTTGTGTATTTTCCACCACCGCCCCCCTCCTCGCGAGCCATTCCTCCAGTCCCCCCGTTCAGACAAAACCCGGACTGGATTTTTTTCCCCTACCCACAGTCTCCGAAAATCTGGCGCTTCAGAACAGTTGGCCCTGACGCCGGGACAAACGCTTCGCCCGTCGTGGTGTATTTATTCCCTCTGGAGGGGAGAGAGTAGACTTTGCTGGAAGTAAGGTTGTCGGTCAGAGTTAGACTTTGAACGCCGAGATCAGCTACAAGTGCCTGGCCACTACTCTTGAGCTTATGTGAAATGGGGGAAGGTGGACCTACCGGAGGTTTGGGATCAATTCCTAATATGAATCATCAGTCTTATGGATTTTAAAAGTAGTTTCATATCGTTGCCTACCAATCTCTTTGCACACACCAGCCTAGGCCCTCCCTGCCTTCTGAGCTGCCTTGGCACTGTGCTAAGTCTGTAAGTCTCAGCGAGTGCCTCTACGTTGCTACCTGCAGTACCAGGTTATCACGGCTAAACTCCAAGAGGCTGTCTGCTCTCACCACTCAAACTGTAGGCTTACTGTCATTGTCCAGGCCTTTGAAGAAACAAACAGGGGTGGAGGTTCAAGACTGATATTGTTATCTAAAAAATTAATACAAAGTTAAGACCAAGACTGGAAATCAAGCATGTAACCAGTTCATCGTACAACTGATGACTTTGCCACTTTCTGAGGATTTTTAGTTGTGATGGAGCAAAGTTGTTTGCTCTATGGTTTGGGGTTAGGCTGTGCAGTAAGCCATGCTTTGGACGTTCAAATCATACCCCAAATTCCACCCCTGTAGGGGAGGGGTCCGGAGGATCTCATTCATTAAATATTCTGGTAGTCCCATGAGGACAGTGGAAAAGGTGTCCTCACCCTCAGCTAGTTATTGTTGGAGATTTAACTTCATGTGCTGTCTTAGGCACTTGAAAAGGACTCAATAGGTGCTCACTTATGGTGTCTTCCAACTGTTGAACAGGATGATGACAAAGATTCTAACATGAACTTTTTGTTCTCCCTGAATCCGATTAGCTTCCTGATACACCTAGTTCAGGTAATGACACTATTATAATAATCTTTCAGGCCCCAAATAGCAGCGTCATTTTAACTCCCTTCTCTACCTTATTTATCCCCAGAGGCAGTTGCCCACAAGTCCAATCCATTGTTCTTTCTGAATGCCTTTTGAATCCACACCTGCCTTTCCATCCCCAAAGCTCTTACTGCGTTACAGGACTTCAAAAGTGAAAGTTCCTCCAGGAGTGACAAACACCCAGTTTCTCACCCATACACCCTCCCCTGCTCCCCTTCGGACACTACCACCAGATTTATCTTCTCCAAACCTATTTATATCATGGCATTTTTCTAGTTGGAATTTTTATCTGTAAATATTCCACTCAGGAATTCAGAGAGTGAAAAATGGTTTGTGCATTTTCAGAGATGGGTGTGTCTGATCAAAGCATGGAATACCTGGGGCCAACCCAGAAGTGAATGAATCAGTGTCAGTGCGTGTTTGGAAAGAATGGCGAAGAGTCCTTAGGGTGATTTTGCCTTAAGGAAGAAACTTAGCTTGGGAGGTGATTTTAGAGAGGCAGCAGGGTCTCTCTCTAACCAGGAAGAATCAAGATCAGGGGAAAAGAGGTGGAGGACAGAGGCGTAAGGCAGGTGGGAGAGTAGTGAGGCACGTGGCCTCAGAAGCTAGAGCACCTTGGCTGAATCCCGGCACCACAGCTACTGACTGCGTTCCCTTACTCAATCTCTCTTTGTGCCTCAGTTTATCTATCTGTAAAATGGAAATCATAGTAGTTATCTAACAGTGAAGTTGCTTTGCAGGATAAGTTAAAAAATATAATTGGCTTAGAAGAATTCCCGGTACAAGATAAGATCTATATCAGGGCTTGTTACACTGAACATGTTGGTGGGTGTTGTACAATCAAGGTAGCTCTCTTTTAAGTAAGCTCAGAAATGTCTTAAAGCCCAACTGCATCTTGTCAAGGGCCCATGGTCAGGTTAAAGATAAAGCTCTTTGTGTCTGAAATTGCTATAGTTAAAAGAAAGTAAATGTTTTCCTGAGAACTGCAAGTAAAGGGAGAGGTGAATGAAGTGGTGACTTGTATTTTTGGTGTAGTGAAAGATGATTCACTATTGTTCTTTCTTTCAAAATGCTATACACTTTGAAATCAGCTTGTTTGTTCTCTCAGGTCACTTCATCTCATATACATCCATTACCTAGCCCTACAAAGCTGGAGAGGCTGCCCCTAGGGGGGGGGGGGGGGAAGAAACTGTCCCTGGTATTCAAATTATTACATGAAAGCTAATTTTACCAAAATAGGTTTAGCTGGGCTTTGAGGGATGAAAAGGATCTGGATGGTCAGGGAGAGCAGCATTATCCAAGGAAGAGCAGCCACTGAAGCCCATCGTCATGCAATCAGAGGAAATTTGGTGGGAATAAAATCAAAAGGCTTAATGCATCAGGTATCCTGAAAATATCTCATGATACGGCTCATGACACTCATAGCTTGGGCTCAGAAGTCGAGAAATATGATGCCAAGCAAGCGGGGAGGAGTCTCTGTGGTGTCTTTCCCCCACATTCCCTAAATGTCATGCATTTCTGTCTTCCAAAACTAGGAGCTTGCTGCTAAGGATGAGGATGAGGGTGCCTCTGAGGCCCGGGTAAAGGAGGTGCACCGTCCAGGACAGTACGATTCAACACAGCCTCATCTAAAATGCTCCAGCATTCATTTCACGTGTATCTATTGAGTCCTGCTAATTGCTGGGCCTCGTTCTTGGTCCTGGTGTGCAGCAGTGAACTAAATCACCCTCATTGGTGGAGGAAGTTGATGGCAATCAAAGAAAATAAATGAACTATTTAATTTTATAGAGGCAACAAAGTGCCATAGAAGAAAAATAAAGTGGAGGAGCAGATAGAGCATACTCATTTCTTCATATTAAAGCAAACATTTGGAGTATGATGTGAAGTGTGAGTGAAACCTTCTTCCCTGGATGGCGTCCACTCTCCTCTGCCACTGTGTACTTTGGCTGGACGGTCTGAGAAGCACCAATGAGGACCAGCAGAGTGACTTTGGAGTGAGCATCACTCCGTAACCACACAGCATCTGCCTGTGTCTCCTTTCTTCTGATCCTTAACAGCTCTTAAACCCTTGAGTTCTGAGCCCCAAAGATACCCCAAAACATTTTTTTTAACATGTGTCTGCAAAATTATATAAAGAAAATCGGGCTCAATTTCATTTTACATTCCGTTTTTTAAAATTAAGGATTCAGAAAAATAATAATCATGCTCCCCAAATCATGAGGTTTAACTATATCCACGGCAGAAATACCAGCAACACCTTGTTTATGTCCTTATGAAACGTAAATAGTTGGATTGGTTGAGATTAGTATAGCTCCTTTTAATAATTATTTTAAAACTAAAAGTAAAATTCTACCCTTTAAAAAGGTTATGAAAGTAAGATTAGGTTAGTTTTTTTTCCTACTTCTGGGAGACTTAAAAATGATTTCAGTTGATGACTGTCATCCCACCGTATGAAAAATAGATTGAGGTTAAGAGAATTGCTCATTTATTACAACCTTCAAGCTAAAAGCCTGTCTAAGCCAAGCATAAACTTCCACCCAGATCAATGTTTCTTCCATGCTGCTTAAACTCCCCATGAGCTTAAACTCCCTTTAACAACACAGTGTACTTTCAATATAGTAGTTCTGTAAAATACCTCCAAAGACTTGGATTCCTTTTTATTGAAAATTAAAATTATGGCATTTTTAAAAATATTACACTTACTTGCTATTTCTCTCTGTGTGTGTGTGTGTGTGTGTATAAGTGAAGTGATTTTGTGATTTTTTTCTGATCAGTTTAGTCATCTGTTATTGACACTTGAGAGGCAATGGGAAGAACACTGGACTGGAATTCCAGAGACTTGGGTGGACCCTACTACTATAGGGATTACTAGTAGCACTAGTTAAGTCCCCTGATGTCTGCAGAGTTCACAACTCTAATATGAATGACTTTCACTCTTTAAGGTCTTTGAGCTCTTGAGTTCCGTGCTGTATCAACCTGAAGTATGTTTTAGGATTAAGTCAAATTCCCATTTTTAAAATCTACAAATAGAGTCTAATATGTCAACAAATGTATGTTGATATGTTTATCTCATAGAGAAATAGATGTCTCTTGAAGCCAACTCTAGGTGCTGTTTGTGTCTTTCAATGGCCACCTCTGCTCCTAACAACATTACCCTTAATTTCATGGGCCCTCCCTGCTTTGTTTGGAATATGAAAATTTTAAAATTAAACATTGTCTTGCTACCATCCTATTTTGATAGTTGTTTCTAGTAATAAGATGCCTAATGGCTAAAAATCAAATAGTTGCTA